TTTTTTTTTTTTTTTTTGCAAGGAGAGAGGCGTTACATACCATGGCAAGAGCTTCGCGCATGAAAGTGAGATGGGTTTGGACTTCATCCTCGGGCATTTTTGAGGCGGATGGAGGTCGCAGAGTTTGGTGAGAAGGACTCGGTGAAACGAATGAGGGATATGTCTCCTCCATGATCTTATTTTTAGGAATAACTATTTATCGGAATGCAGACGCTTCGAAACGAGACTTGTGGGTTTGGAGTGAGGAGGTGAGTGGGTAGGCATTTTTTTCGAGGCTCTCGCTAAATCATTCTCTGGGGATATATCGCTCGACATCACCCCGTTCAAGCTTCTTCTATCGCAATCCTGAGAAATAGAGAGAGTCTCTGGATGATTTCCCTGTTTTCACAACTGTTGATGGCATGGCAGTGAAGGTGACGCGGTGGTGGTAAAGTTTACCACGTGATGAGCACCGGCTTATCAAAGTATAGGACCCGCTTCTGCCCTCGGGTATTTCAATGTGCTTTGTAGACTCTCCTCTGACTCCTTCCCCATACCCTTTCCACAGGATATCGTCCTCGGCACCATTCGAAGGCTCCATATTATTCATTGAGGATTGCTTGTTGTATTCAACAATCTTAGCTTCCATTATGTGATCGCTCTTAAGTGGTAGGTTCAATGCAAAGATTCGAATCGGCCGGCTATCGACCAGTCAATGGCTATATATGTAGCTAGCTTCCTCATAGACGGCCGAGGCCCTCCTGTTATAACAGAAGGCCGATAGGATAGGACTTTCTGCACCTTTCTTTTAAAATTATTTCTTCTATTTTACTCCTTCCAAAACCCCGCTACCTTGCCAAGTCCTTTAGAAGACATCGAATCAATCCTCAAAAGGATCAATCGGTAGATGACCTTTACGTCCCCGAGCCAAATAGAGCTAATTCTTCATAGAAATCGGCTCCAGCAACACAGCCAACACCAGCCTGGACTATCGTTCCACCCGCGACAATGCCGATATTGTCTTTGAACGCTGTCAGCGCAAGCTTGGGTATTGTGCCCCCTCCAAGCAATGCTACTGCATCTGGCTGTCCGCCGATACACTCGGGAAAGTTATGGCCTGGCTTGTACTCGCTGATCTGGACTATCCAAAACCGGCATCCTGAGCTCGCAAATCTGGTGCTTCTACGGGCATAGTGGACGATCTTCCATTTTGTGCTCTGGTGTCTGGAGTACTTGTGGCGTATTGGCCGTAATGGTATGTCTCGGTTCCCTTTCAACAGGTCCGGCTTGTTGCTTATAAAGGTGAGATATGTATTGTTTGGCAGCTTCTCAAGAATCACGGGCGAATATAGCTGCATCTTCCAAAGATCCCTTAGTCCCGTCAGTTGCTGGCCATGTTGAGGAAGCCGTCCAGAATCCGGGCTACATCAGAGTACCTGGGGTAGATAGCCAAGCAGATGTCGATGCACATGTACTGAGATATCTGCAATCGTCTGTCCACGAAAGCTCTTGGGCACATCATCTGATGTGGGCCAAATCAGGTTGAGATGGGTGTCACTCTTCTTCAGGCCAGAGTATGTTGAAAAAGCTGAAGGTGACTCCGAGGCTGGACCCATCAGCAAAACAACATGCAATAACACGAATTTCCTTTATACCCTTTGTGCATCAATTTTATGGTATTCACCCAAGTTTCCCATGGCTAAAAGTGGATGAGTTTCGACAAGAGCGCCACTCTGCTGAAAGTAGGCTCTACTCAAGCATAAATTGAATAAGCTTTGTTTACTGACATGTTCTTTTCCAATCTACTCGCTTCCTTTCCAGGCAGCCACACTTTTGCATTCACTTTTTGCTTTCACCTTTTGCATTCACCTTTTGCATTCACCTTTTGCATTCACTTTTTTCTTTGACTTCTACCTCAAGGCGACTACATATATCTGGTCTCCCGCTCCGCAGCAACAACCCCACAACATATTGAGCAAATCAATTCGATATTTACCTTCCTGCCTGAAGCTGCCACGAATCTTGGAGTGATTCGCTTTCGCTCGCTGGCTGGAGAAAGTTCAGCTACCAGTAAGTTTGCCTCTTCTCTTTGGAGAGCGATATTGACCGATCTAGCAGTCTTCTCTCCTACCAAATAAAACAGCTCTCGTCCACCGCCGGATATTCATTCGTCATGCCTCTTTCAAAATGCGCCTTTTGCGACAAGCCCGTCAAAGACAATCTGTGTAGTAGGTGCCGTTCGGCGAGCTACTGCTCGGAGGAATGCCGGAAGCTTGACTTTCCATTGCACACGTTGTTTTGTTCCGGGTTGGCAGCCTTCCGTCACACTTACACTCGCCCAACCGACTCGGACAGTCTGAAGTATAAGCTCGCCTTTTACTTCCCCTTCTCAGGCCGCCCTGACTTCGTCTGGGTCCCAATAAGCATCCTCGACGAGAATAGAGATAAGATGTCAACCTCGGTCAAAATTGAAGAAGGACACTTGACCAGCCCTACACCACACAACTTCCAAAGTCGCGAAAGCCATTTCCAGGTCTTCAGAAACGATTATCCCATCTCCAAACTTCCAGGCCCCAATAAGCTCATCCGAGCCTTGATTAGAGGATATCATCATTACCTATGCAATGAGGTAACTCAAGACGTAATCCGCACCAGCGGCCCTCTTGTCATTTTGAAGCTCGATCCCCGCCATCCATGCAGAGATGGCGTCGTTGAGAATCCAGGCAGCGATGGTCTCGTTAAAGACTTGAAACAGACAGGATACATGGATATCACCTTGGCAGACGTCCGTTTGGTGCTGGAGTACTACGCATCCAAGTCGAAGACTTTCGAGTCTGACTTTCCTAACCGATTTATCATTCGCGACCCGAGTAAGGGATGGGTAGAAGGGGTCAAGATCAGCTGCGAAGGCGACATGACAAGTCTGGCTTGCCAGAAGTATCGAGACGTCTGGGCCCGACCCAGCACGCCAGAGGAAGACGACCTGGCGCTCATCAACGCGAAGATGGGTAATCCACGACCGGAACTACCGAAAGTCTGCTCCATCTCTCAGCACATGGGTTTTACCCTCGTCGTCCAAGATACCGAGATGGAATTATCGGTAAAGCCGGGTCCGATTGCATTCGCAAACGTCGAGGTCCAGGCGATGATGACCAACGCTGATCCAGCATCGGATGGGGCGTCGTGGGGAAGCAACGACACTGAGATGCTGCAACTTGGTTTGGCTCCCACGGTACTCGTCATGAGACAAGACGGAAAAGCCATCAGTGCAAAGCAAGTTGAGATTTTCGTTTCTTACTGCAAGGACGTTCTTCGCCCCAAGATGCGAAAACATCCCAAGGAAAAAGACAACAACAACAAGGATACGAGTGCTACGTATACTGCTGCAGATCAGAGCGTTATTGCTACCGGCGAGGAAAGCTGGCGTAAAAAGTTCATCAAGGACTACATGAAGTCATCGAAATTCGAAGCGTTCATCAAGGTTTTCAAGGCAGAGAAGCTGGCTGCAGGCGATACTACATGGGTGGATGTCGTCTCCCCTCGAGCCGTCTGACCGGGTTACTGGCCAACGTTGACTGTTCAAGCACATTGGTAGCTGCCTGGTTTTCTCTGCGTACTTTTTTTTCGATGATTGGATTTGCTTTTCCATGGGGCCTATGTTGAAGAGGCAACACGAGAGTTCATGCCTTCAAAAGAGCTTTGCTCTCCGGCATCTGCATGGTTTCTCTTCATATCACAGAATTCAGCTTGTTTCTTCCCCAATGCTTCAGCCCGTCTATTGTTCACAGTTCCAAGTGACTTGCCATTACTCGATGCTGTGGCACGTGAGGTTGGTCAACATGGCATACTGCTGCTCGCTCCTTCCGTTTGGAATCAACTCTTAATACTAGACTGAATTCGCTAGTGCATACCCGCTAATCTCTCCTTTACTCGCCCCTCGAACCTCACTGCTCTCATATCAGTCACATCAGATCACGAGGATCTTCGTCAACTTCGTCTTGGAGAAACAGCTCTGGTGCTCCCACCCAACTTACGCGTCTCGTCAGCTTCACGTCTCTCACCGTTGATTCCAGATTAACACCATTATCACGGAGATGGACGACCGCCTCTCACCCGAGTCTTTCGCTATGGCTGTGGTTTACTCTACGGGGTCGCCACTGTCTGAGTAAAGGACGATTTCATGTAATTAGTAGAGACATACTCGAGTGAATCACAGGTAAATGAGCCAGCCACCTTAACCAATTCTTGTCTCTGTGCGAAGCTTCCGCTCTGTGCAGTAGTGCAATTATTCCCTTCATTCCTTTGTTCTTGTTTATAAATTCAGATTCCAGTCCTGTCGACTACTAGCTACAGCCCCATACCTTACTTTTTCTTCAACTTCAACCTTGCCTTGAGTATCGGCCTTTGCTTTGCTTTGCTTTGCTTAGTAAATTGTAAGTCCTCATCCGGACTGTGTCGCTCGCACAGCTCAGTATTACAGCTGCCTTCGATATCTTTCTTAACTTTTCGTACAGCTGAGCTTTGGCATCGACCTCAAACCTCAAGATTTCTACACCAGCACCAGCCCCAGTCCCAACCCCAGCTCCAGCCGGATGCCAGCCCATCCATCTGTGTGCCGTCTGCGAGAAGACTGCTTCCCTCTGGTGCAAGGAATGCAAACCCATCCACTACTGCTCGGCGGCTTGCGAGAACGCAGACCGTCCTTTGCACAAACTACTATGCTCCGACATGGCAACTTCCTTATCAACAACCCTCGACTGGCTGGCGAAGATGGAAACTTGTACAAGCTTGCGCTCTTCTTTCCCGCCAAGATAGCCTCCCCGAAGCTGATCTGGGTCGCTACAAAAGCATTTTTCGATGACGACGGAGAGATCGACGCCTTCGCCAACATTGACGAGAAGTACGTGCCCGACGTTCGATCACACGGCCACTTCCTCAACCGCCAGTCGTATTTCCATATCCACCGATCCGAAACTTACCCTTTCAAAAAGCCTGACCCCAATGAGACTAAGTACAACAAGCTGCTCAGCGGCTACGAGTACAGTGCCTTGGGCTCCCACTATGAGGACCAGTTTGAGTGAAGAGGCCCCAGTGTCGTTCTCAAATTATTTCCATCCGGAATCGCTGGAGAAGATTGGCCTATCGAATATCTATCCAAGGCTTTTTACGAGGATGTTACCGTAGCCGACCTGCGTCGGGTTGCGGAGCACTTCGTCGCCAAAGCAAGATTCTCCGAAGCCGACATTCCCAACGACCTCGTCATCCATGATCCGAAGAAGTGGGTTCCAGGCGTGAAGATCAGCTGCTCTGGTGACATCAAGATCTTGGGGAAGAAGCTTTTCCGCGAATTCTTGGTACACAAGTCGCACCCAGTAAGCTTCAGCTCGCACGTCTCTGAAATCTCGGAGCTTATAGGCTTCGCATTGCGAGTTTGCAAGTGCGGATTCGACCGGAGGTCCCGAAGGATATGTATCATGACACCTTGAGGGTCATTCTCTCAACCGAAATTAATTTTTTTTTTTTTTTTTTTTTTTTTTTTGCCAGACTGAAATCGGAATTCCGTTTTACTTTGCTTTATTTTACCTACTTACGTACGTACGACCGACCGGCCATCATCGCATTCTCCCATTCCCAGCTGGGCAAGAAAGCAATCAAGTCCAAGACGGACCTGTTTCTGTTTTCCATACGCGCTTTTGAAAAGATTCCAAACGTTTCGATGTTTGAATACATGGTATTGTGCATAGAGCAGGTCCCATCCTGCTCCAGCCGCGCTGCTTTTCCGTTTGCCGGACGCATTTTTATTCATTCGGCAGCATCCTGGATTACTGATACCCTTTTTTAAAGAAGAAGAAGAATCAAATGCGTTGTTGACAGCGAGACTCGGCCGTGGTTTTTCTTGAGGGAGGGGAAAGGGAAGGGAAGGGGAAGAAAGAATGGGGTCTGGACTCTGGATGGTCACGCTTTGATGGAATATGCATGCATGCTCCTTTCTCTCCCTTTTTAGGTGCGAGAATATTTAAAATAAATACAAATATACCTACCTATCCCTACGGACCAAAATCCATACGCTTTAATCTATATACGTAGTACATGCAATCACCGTCGTCTGAGAGGATGATAGAACCTAGAAGGCCTATTCAAGCGAACCGACGATTACGGTTTAATCCGTATCTTCCTCTTGTTTCCGTATAAGCGTTCTAGAAGGCGCACCGCGTATGTACCTTCTCGATCCGGGCAGGACGTGCGGACGCGATGCGATGGCTTTAGCTACGACGTAAATCTACCAGTACTATACACGATTGCCAAGTCTACCATACATACCTAACTACCAACTACCTCTCTGCCTTGAAACTCAAACCAAAATACAAGAAAAACATACCGTTATATTCGTAACCCTGACTAACTGACTAACTACTAGTAACTGACCCTGAAGCCAACCCAGCTCGCGAAGCTCGCCCTGACCCTAACTCACTAACTGCCTTGCCTGTACCTTTCTTCTCCGAATCCCAAGACCTGGACCCGCTACAATCGTGCACGGCTTTTGCGCTCCGTACGCTTCGGAGTTACCCGATTGGGTTAGGTGTATGGTAGATCTAGGTAGCACGGTAGTTTGTTTGTGTACAGTACCTACCTATGATAGGTAGATTTTAGCTAAAGCCGACGCGATGCGGCGAAGAAGAAGAAACCGAGAGGGAGGATTTGTTGAGCGAGATGATGTTGCTTTTGCTTTCGCGTGTTAGCACCGAGTGGGCGGACATATTATAATATATATGTATATATGTGTATATATCTCTTTCACATGGCGTAGGTTCGATTTAGGAATGGAGCGATTCGCAAATCAAGGAGAATTTCTTTTCTCTTAAGTAATGGATGAATGGCAAGACAGGTTAAGCACGCTGCGAACTTGGCTATGGGACCCGTCGCGACGTGGGGGAAGGTACCTACAGTACTACGTAGTAATTACTGGACCGGCGGACGTTAACGTGACGACGGAACTGAGTTTCTTTTTTCTTGATCTTGGAGTTAATCGCCTGGGCCGCCCGTCCCCTAACCCTCCCCTCCCCTCCCCCTCCCCTTCCCCTCCCCCATGGCGATTAGGTAGGTATAGTACTATAGTTGCTTAGTCGGCTTTGGCCTGAGATGAATAGAGTTGCAGATAAAGGAACGATACTTATGCGCGTGTGCTATACGTAGGGTCTTGGGGGTAAGTTTGCATAGCTGCAACGAAATAAGAAGAGAAAGCACAATTCCATTGTACGATAGCCCTTGTTTATTGACGTAAACAGATGCCGGATTTCTTATTCGATCCCCCCCCCCCTGGACGAATCACCTCCTCCTCCCTCGAGTCGTGAAGTGAAGAGAAGATCTTATAGTACAGGTTGATTACTAGCAGACGATATGATATGGTCGCGGTAATTGTGTAGAAGTGGTATATAGCCTCTGATCAGTTATTACTTCTTGTACTTGGGAAGAACGGGATCCGAAACCGACTTTTCATCTTGATTAGAGAGGTAGTAATTACTGTATGTTGTAGGTACGTAGTAAGTCTAGGTACCTACTCGCATCGATCGGCGGCAACGTTTCCTTTCCCCGAACCGTATTGTACCCGGCCCGCGTCATAGCTAAGAAGACAGAGGACAGAGGAGAAAGAGAGCGAGAGAGAGAGAGAGAGAGAGAGAGAGCGCAATACCAATAGCACTCACTCACTTACACTCTCACAGAACCGCTTTCCGATTGATTTTGCTGTCGTCGCATCACTGATTTACTTACTTCCTTCTGAGACTGAGATCCCGCAAACAACTCCACCGCTTTTAAACAACTAACCGATGCCGACACCGACGCCGCCGACTCACCACTTACATACTACTTACTTACTGCTCAGACCAACCCCGCCATCGCTATCGCCATCGCCATCGCCATCGCCATCGCCATCGCCATCGCCATCGCCATTCCAACTCATTCATCCTCATTCCCGCCCGCGTCTCTTAAATACTACCCACTATGAACGGATCGCAGGCCTCGCACATCATCTCCAAGGCTAAACAAGCTGCTGCGTCTGCCGCCGCTGCCAATGGGAACAATAAGAAGCGCAAGAAGGAGTTGTTGAGGCCTATCATCACGACTGGCGCAGAGTCGGAGAAGGAGAAGGGCGATGCTATGAACTCTACCCCAGGGTTTGTCTACCTGCTTTCTTTCCGTCTTCTTCCCTTTTTTTTCGTTCTTTCTCTTTTTCTCTCTTTCTCTCTCTCTTTATTTCTTTCTTTTTCGTCTGCTCTGATCTGCGCGACTGGGCTTTGATTGCTGCCCGCTCAAGTGAATGCGAGAGACCCCGTCTATCTAATATCTACATCCTTACTACTTACCACAGCCACCCTACCCGACCCCAACTTATCATCACCCCTCGATCCCGATCTGCGCGCAAACAATCCTTCTCTACCCATCGTCACCTCAGCATTAAAAATGACCCCGACTAGCATTGTTACACCTCATCTGCACAATGTCGTCGTTGCTCAAGTCTATGCTGACCACGCACAACACCCCTTACAGATCTAGTGGCGCTGCGACCTCGACCTCGAAATCATCTGCCATGAACCGATCCCCCTCCTCCGCCTCGTCGTCGCGGGAAGAGGCCGCCGAAACCACCGCCGACGAGGAGGATTCTGAGGACTACTGCAAGGGCGGCTACCATCCCGTCCAGGTTGGGGAGCAGTTCAAGGACGGCAAATACACCGTGGTGCGCAAGCTGGGCTGGGGCCATTTCTCGACCGTCTGGCTCTCGAGAGACAATGTGACGGGAAAGCATGTAGCGCTGAAGGTCGTTCGATCTGCCGCGCATTACACCGAAACCGCCATCGACGAGATCAAGCTGCTGAACAAGATCGTCGCGGCCAAACCAGACCACCCGGGACGAAAGCACGTTGTTAGTCTGCTGGACTCGTTCGAGCACAAGGGCCCCAATGGCACGCACGTCTGCATGGTCTTCGAGGTCCTGGGCGAGAACCTGTTGGGCTTGATCAAGCGCTGGAACCATCGTGGGATCCCGATGCCGCTGGTCAAGCAGATTGCAAAGCAGGTCCTCCTCGGCCTGGACTACTTGCACAGAGAGTGCGGCATCATACACACAGATCTGAAGCCGGAGAACGTCTTGATAGAGATCGGAGACGTGGAGCAGATTGTGAAGACTTGCGTCAAGGAGGAGGTCAAGAAGGAGAACAAGGAAGACAACCCTAATGGAAGAAGAAGACGTCGGACCCTAATCACTGGCAGCCAGCCTTTACCCAGCCCGCTGAATGCCAGCTTCAACCATGCAGATTTGCTGCGATTCCCAGGCGGTGCGGCTGGCTCTCACACCAGTCTCAATCAGATAATGCAAGAAGGTAATCCATCTCCCGTCTCGGACGCCAGCGTTGCCGGCGTGTCAGAGCATGCCGTAATAACTGGCGCTACAGGAGCCTCTAAAAACCCATCCCCGAAGAGTGAGAAGGAAGATGAGGAGAACCACAAGCAACGGGAGAAGACTGCGTACGTACATATCTTGAAGCGAGGGGTTTTATTTGGCTAATGTCGAAATAGAGATATCCTCACTCGTGAAGTATCTGGCATCTCACTCGATAAATCTACACCGGACAAAAAGAAGGAAGAGACGACCGGTTTCGAGAAGATATCAGTCAAGATCGCAGATCTGGGTAACGCGTGTTGGACAAGCCACCACTTTACGAATGATATCCAAACCAGACAATACAGATCTCCGGAAGTAATCTTAGGTTCAAAATGGGGTGCTAGTACAGATGTCTGGAGTATGGCTGCAATGGTACGCTTTAAAACTCGCCTGAATCTTTTGCCATGTCTCAAATGTAATGCTAATCCGGTTTGGTAGGTGTTCGAACTCATTACTGGCGACTACCTCTTCGACCCCCAATCTGGCACCAAATACGGCAAGGACGATGACCATATTGCACAGATCATCGAGCTGCTTGGCCCCTTCCCCAAATCCCTCTGCATGTCAGGAAAATGGTCGCAAGAGATCTTCAACCGCAAGGGCGAGCTACGCAACATCCACCGCCTGCGGCACTGGGCCCTCCCGGATGTCCTGAAGGAGAAGTACCACTTCAAGGACGAGGAGGCGCGCAAGGTGGGGGAGTTCCTGACGCCGATGCTGGAGCTGGTGCCGGAGAAGCGGGCGAACGCGGGGGGTATGGCGGGCGCGGAGTGGCTGGAGGATACGGTGGGAATGAAGGGGGTGAAGATTCCGGGGCTAGAGGTGGGAAGCAGGGGCGAAGGCATCGAGGGCTGGGCTTCTGAGATCAAGAAGCGGTGATGTGGTTGAAGAGAGCGAGCATTGTGCTTGAGAGCGCGGTGTGGTTGTTAGATAGACAGGTTTGGGAAGGGGTGGGGGAAGAAGGGTGGGATATGGATACGTTCACTCGTTCGCATCATTCGTTTTCGGGGGCTGCTGCAGCCGATTGAAGACACGGGGAATGGAATGGAATGATTGAATGAATAAATGAAATGGGGGCTTTGGCATAGTAGTGGTAGTAAGTGAGTAAGTAAGAAAGGAAGTAAGTAAGTAAGTAGTAGTAGGTACACGGGGCCACCGAATCCAGATTCCAGTGAGCGTAGAGCCGCGGCAAGAGGAGACGAGATGACGAGATGACGAGAACGACTCTGAGTTTTTTTTTTGTATGTGGTGAGGTATGGCGATGCGTTGATGCGTTGATGCGTGATGCGTCTCGCTTTGATTGGGTTGGTTCGATTGGGTCTGGGTCTGGTTCTGGTTCTGGTTCTGGTTCTGGTTCGATTTCGGAGTATACAGATAGATGCACTCATACAGATGCACTCATACACACTCAGACACACACACACACACACACACACACACACACACACATATATACAATGTATATATGTATATAT